TGAGGAGTGTGGCTCCGGGTCCTGACCCCTCTCTTGGTGTGCCCACAGGGGTATGGCCCCGGCATCCTCAAAGATTTTTACAGTGGGATTATACACAGAAATCAGACTTCCTCGAGGCCTAGGCTGTGCACAAGGCAGCACCCTCCCTGTCACATGTGGTTTACAGGGACACGAAGCTTCTTGAATGGAACTGTTTTTGAATGAAGAGGGTGATTATGCAAGGAGCCTGTTCCATCACAGGACAGACGCCTCTGCCTGGCCCTTCCCATCCGCACTTCCAAACACTTCATTATAATAGCCCTGAATGTCGAACTGCATGTTTTAAAAGGACCTTGTTGTTTCATTTTGTTTCCTTGTTACAGAAGTAATAACTGCCCAAATAAGCAAAATTAAAATTAAAATTAAAACCACTTTTAATTCCACCCATGATCAAGTCCCCGATAACTAACTCGGCTCTTGACGTTCTGGGGTTCTGCCTACCCACCCTCACGTGTGCTCTTACAGTCAGTCTGACTTTCTGTGATACAAACATCCCTGCGGTCACATGCTCTGCAGCCTGCCAGCCGTCACAGGGCCATCCTGCAGCCATTTTCGTAGCAAGTGCACTGCACTGTGGAGCCTGGGCCCCGGGTTGTGCAACATGCTCCCCCCGTGTTTTATCCAGCCTGGAAGTAATTGGCCTTTATACCGCCCAGCACATCCTAATGAACCATTTTTTCCTCTGTGGCTTTGTGTGTCTGTTCCTTAGTTTTGTCCTGTTACTGCTAATTATGCTCCACAAATAACCCTAAAAATTCCAGGCGTCCTTTGTGTGCATACTTAGGCAACGCACAGCTTTGTTCTGATTGTTCCTCGAAAGGTACGGAGAGCTTTTCTTGAGCCTTTGTAGTCTTGGTCTTTCTTTTGGCAGAATTGGAGAATGACAGGTCTTTTCTCTCAGAGTGATCCTGCTCTCTGTAATTTTCCCCCATCAGATGTAGAGTTGAGAAATGAGACATTTGCATTATTGTGTGTATGGATGAATTTCTGCCCCCAGAATCCTATTCAACTTATTTTGCAAATTGTGCTATAAAGCAGTCTAAAGTACTTCAAGGGCACTGTGGAAGCCTCCCAGGGCTCAGCTCAGCATGCAGCAGAGGCAGGCGGTCATGCAGAATGTGATGACTGTGGTATCCAACGTGTACGTGCGCCTCTGTTTGCTTAATCTGCATGCCCGTGCCCCAAGGATTTTCATGGAAGGTGTGTGGCTTGCCAATCCAAGCAGCCCGGTACTCTAGTGGGGGTGGGGCTCAGAGGCCCTGGGTTCCTGCAGTCTGAATGTTGCCCCTGGAGGCTGCATGAGGCCATCAGAGATTGGCCTCTCCTGTGTTCTCAGGGGAGAGTTTGGCCCCTGCGGCAGGTCCTCTCGTCTTGCCTTGCGTGGCGAATGGCATGCTCTTTGGATGGTTCACACAGCGTGGCCCAAGCTTCCTGTCTGTTTAGTAACGGAGCATTTACCTGGAGAGGGTCTGTGGGGAAGGCTGCTCTCATCACCTCACAGCCTCGGTCACTCTGGCTGCGCTGAGATTGACGAGAGCATCTCCTCGGTGAGTGGGGTGCTCAGGAGCCACACTGACTGTGCTGTGGCCCTGGAACCTGGCACAGTGGGACAGCCCTGCAGATCTGGCCTGGCGGCTAGCGTCTAGAAAGAGGACATCCAAAGTCAGGACCCCCGGCTGGCAGTGAGCTTTCAGGGAAGCTGTGAGGGGCCTGAGACCTGGCTGAGCAGAGCGTGAGTGCCTCGGACAGACACATATCAACCCCACTTCACAGGTCATGAGACAGAGCCATGGAGCTTAGGGGCAGAGGGGCAGAGCTGGGGTTCGGACCGGACAGTCTGGCTGCAGAGTCCTTGCCCTGAACCAACACATCACACTAGAGCCTTGCGCACTTCCTGGCTCTGCCCTAGGCCCATCCTCTTTCCCAGTAATGGATTTTGTTGTTGCGGGACTGTTTTTTTAAGACACCAATGTCTGTGGCACACTTACTTCCCAAGAGTAGAGCATTTGTAACCATGGACAGTGACAGGTATGGTGCCACCGGCGCATCCCCCTTCCATATTGTCCACCATCTTCTCACTGGGAGCTTGATATGATTTGCATCTGGTTTTCTCCCAACACACCAGAGAGGCCACATAGCCAAGAGGTCAGAACCAGGTGCTCCAGGCCAAGCAGGCCTCTCCAGAGATGCAGATCCCAAGGTCCAGGCAGCAGGGTACAGATGAAGAGAGCAGCCCTTCACAAAGTGGAACTGTTTGTGCTCACGCCCATTGACCTCTTCCTTGCCACTGAGGAGTAGGCACTGGATGTGCACAGGCCACAGACGTGCTCAGGTCCCCTGCGGTGGCCCCTGCATGAACCTGGTGTTGGGAGGGTGCATAGGAAGGGCCCTGACTCCCATGCACCTCCTGGAGCTGAGCTGCCCACCTGGCTCCACTGTAGGAGTTGCAAAGTCCATCCTGTGGCCCCTTGGGCCTGTGAGGATCCCAAGGGAAAATGTGGCTGGCAGGGACTTGGCTGTGCTCACACCCAAAGGCACTCGGTGGTGGTTGGCGGCTGAATTTGCATCTTACATAGCTGCTGCTGGAGTCAGCGTGGACTCCCGACTGGAGCCCTCATGAGGCCACTGTACACTCTGCTTGGCGTGGTACTCATCATTCACCAGTGAGGAGACAGACAGAGAGGGTGGGCAGCTTGCCCAGACCACACAGCCAGCACATGCCTACACCGGGATTCAGAGGCAGGCACACAGGCTCCGGGTTCCTTGTCATTGTGGATGACCTAGGCGTCCAGTTGTGGGCAGCTTCATAGAGGTGCCACCCTTCTGGAGGCCATGACATGTGGCCATCAGTCTGCCATCCAAGGCTGCTGAGCCTGGGAAGTGGAGAGCAGGACCTGAGGTGTCCATCGGCCGAGCGCCAACCCCACCTTCCCAGGGGGCATCCTGGGTCTGTCACCCCAGGACCAAGACCTGGTGTAGTCAGTCCAGGACCTGCCCTGCAGGAGGTGCCCCTGAGCCCTCGGGGGGTGGGGTCCCACACGGGAACAGCTCCCAGGGTCCCCTCCTGGGAGCCCTCAGCCAGGCTGCACAGCTTCTCCCGGGCTGGCACTGTGTGGGGCTCCTTGTTCCTGGGGGCACTTCCCTGGGTTCTTCCCCCTCAGCTTCCCCTTTCCCTTTTAAAACCAATAAAAACCCACATGGGTAGTAGCCAAAGTGTGCCATGTACAGGGACAAATCTGCCAAAATGTAATCCCTGATCTGTAGAGCCAATATGTGCTCATAAAAGACACACAAAACTTAAAGGCTACTGGAGAGCCCGAAATCAGTCCTCACAGAGCAGGGCCAGCTGAGTCCTCCAGGGTCCAGGGCTGCTCGATGCTGTCGCCCGCCTGCCCATGGCCCCATGCAAGGCAGGTGTAAGCTTGCAGCCATCAGCATTCCAGCACTCATGTCCCGATGCCCTTGAGATGACTTTGAGTTTGCTCAGCCCTCAAGTTTCATTCTGGTTTAGTTTTCATTCTGCTGGTTTTTGTTGCACGGACACCATGCATGGTCATTTGCTGGAGTCTGGGGGTTTCTGTTGTAGTGGGCACCATGCCAAACATCTTATCCCTGTGAACTTTTGATCTTCACAGCTATACTGATATCTGTCTCTAAAGTGAACAGACCAGGATTAGAGACCCCAGTGACTTGCCAAGTTCATGTAAAATATTTACAGCAAAGCAGAGGTGGATCCTAGCCTGGGGCTTCCTTCCCCGCTGGGTTTCATGGTGCTGGGCCATGCGTGGTGATACGCCTGGTGACACGCGCCTTCCTCCGTGGAGGAATCCCAATCATTCCATCTCCTCCTGCACCTTACTTCCTTCCAGGAGGACCCCTCAGCTCTCTTCACCTGGGCAGTGGCTGGCTCTGTCTTGGTTGTCCCTGCTGTTCTAGGTGCAATACTTGCAGCCTCGGAGCTTGGGCAACTCCCTGGCCCCACATCCTGACCCCATCCAGTCTCTCCGTGGTGCAGGTGGGAGGCAGGCAAGACTCCATGCAGCCAGGTGTGTCACTTGCCTTACAGAATTCCCGGATGGGCTTTTGTTTGCATTCCATTTGGGCAATAGCACTGGAATAGAGATTTTTAAAATAAATTCTTTGTTCAGAGGCTCTGTGCAAGCCAACAAGCATTGGACAACTTGTGACGGGGAGGAAGCAGAGGTGCAGCCATGGCGTAGTCTTTTCTTTCTGTTCCCTTTGTCCTCACAGCAGCCTTTTCTCTTACGGTCACCATCCCTGACTCCTTAATGCCTGTGGTATTCCTTCCCCACCTATCCAGAGCTGGGGCTGGTGGGTGGCTGTGCCTGTCACCAGGGCTGAGGTCCAGGCTCTCTCAGCATGGTGAGCTGAGCCTTCTCTCTGTGGTGGATCATCCTGGAACCTTTTGCGTGCTGCCACATTGGCCAGAGGGGCAGCAGCCTCCAGCCAGACCCCAATGACAGGGTCAATGGCAGCAGATGTGGCACTGCCAGGCCCTGGGTCTCTACAGGCTACCCTCAGTTGGGAAGCTGTTTGGGAAGTGAGGTTCTGTGCTCCACCCGTGTGAGAACCCCCTTACCCCATGGCTGATGTTCTCCTGAGGAAGGGGATCCCTGCCTGAGCCATGTAGGAGGCTGAGACCCCTTCTGAGTCTGCAAGTGTGTGCATATGTGTGTGTGTGTCCACACTTGTGTATGTGTGCGTGCATGCAAGCATTTGTGCTCAGAACCAGCCTGGCCTGTGTGGCCTGTGGCTCATGGGGAGGAGCCCACCTCTTCCCCGCATGAGGTTGGGAGTACCTGCAATGTGGTACCAGGACCCAGGGAAGGTATGCTGAGTCAAGGTGACCCTGGGCCACCTGGTGGCCTTTGGTCTGTGTGAACTGTGGTGCTTAGCAAGGCGAAAAAGGCCACGCCTTGATGCCTCTCACTGTCTTGCAGGAGCTGTGCCGCCAGCACATGGCTGTGCGCCTGCCTGATCGGCCAGAGGGTCCACACGCCTCCCGTATCAGCAGCGTCTCCTCCCAGTTCAGCGACGGCCCCATGCCCAGCCCCTCAGCTCGGAGCAGCACCTCCTCCTGGTCCGAGGAGCCTGTGCAGTCCAACATGGACATCTCCACTGGCCACATGATCCTGGTAAGGCCACAGCTCACATCCTGCTTCCCTGGGCAGCAGTGTCTCCTTGAGATCCCACAGCTATTGGTCCCATAGCTACCCTGGTGATTCCAGGCAGAAGCATCTCTGCCTGGTGTGCGTGGGCCCTGTCAGGCCCGCACCGCTGCCTTGCTCTCAACATTGGGATGCAGTTGATGAGTGCCTGCTGTGGGCACTGCTCCTGGGATCCCTAACCCAGGAATGGCAGTCGCCTCCTTCACCCTCAGTTCCCAGCCCACTGGCACCACTAGGTAAATAAGTGTCACTGGTATGCACTGTCACTGAAGTCTGGGGGAGCCTGGGGAGCCTTTTCATGCCCCTTCCACAGGGATACACCCCTCTCCAGCTGCACACTGCCCCCTGCAGTGACCACACAGAATGGCTGCGTGGTGCTACTTGGTACGTAATAAATGTCCAGCTTGTCCTTAGAGAGATGTTCATAATTCCCCCCATCTTCACACTGGCTGTCTCCCGATCTCCATGCCATCTCCATGGGCACCTTCCTGTGTAGGCACCGTGAAAGCCAGAATGCCAACCTAGTGCAATGACTTTCTCACTGGAGTTTCACCCTCCATGGGCAAAGCCAAGCCCCCTTCCTCTTCTGGCTGCAGAAGCTGCTCTGTGTGGGACCTGGGAGGACTCACAGCTGTAAAGTGAAGCCAGGGTCACCTGGAGGTGTTAGTATGCAGCTCAAGTTTTGGGGAACCATCCTTACCCAATTACCTAATAATGATATGGACTGCTGGAATTAGACCTTGAAAAGCCAGAAAAGTGTATTTTACTAAAACTTCTTGAAGGAGAGCTGGTCGGTGAATCCCAGAGGCTGCTGGTGAACCCCAGGCCTCACTGGCCAAGTTGTCCATGAATGTTCAGCTCCAGAGCCATACGGATGGGACAAGCAAGGAAACTGAGACACATGGAAGCTGGCTCTACGATTAAGAAGTCTCCCTTTCCTGGTCAGTGAATCGACAATGGCCTTTTCTTGCCTGTGACCTTCACGTCCCCGTCACACCCTGCAGTGGGCTCCAAATGCCTCGCACTGACTTGGTGGAGATGCTGAATCAGGGTGGTGAAAACAACTCCTCATTCACGTGGCAAACCTCTGTCAGCTCCTACTCTGTGCCTGTGCTTGTTACCATCTGCAGAACTGTTTCTCCTTAGGAACAGCAGTCACATTACTTGGGTGGGACTTTTCAGAGATTTTCAGGGTTTTTTGCTTTCAGAAAAGGAGACAAGACCCGAAGTTAGGACTCAGCAGAAATCAGTGCTTCAGCTGAATCTGCCAGTTAGTGCTTGCTGCCAGCAGCTGTGGGGTTCATCATATTCCAGGACACCAAGCAGGACCTGGTGACATCTCAAGGGCACATGGAACATGGGAATAATGGGCTCTTCACAGGCAAATGGCTTTGATGGTGACGTGTATGATGTGATTCTGAACATAGCGCAGTGGTTATTTTTCAACTGAAATACCTAAGCCACAAGGAAGACTTTGTCTCAGTTGGCCTAAAATAAGGTGTCCTGTTGGAAGCACAGTTAATGCCATGAGACCCTGTCACAAACATCTGTCCAAATATGCCTCCCTGCATCCCCAAACCCTTGGTGTCAACTGTGAGTTCCACCAGCTCTAGGGACTTCATCTGTGGAGATTGTAAACTCAGGGAGACTGACTCTTCCTTGCCACCAGTGCTGTGTGTGCAAGAGACACAACCAGGCACATTTCCCTGACTGCAAGACACGGGCTGACATGGAGAGAGGCAGGATGTATGGACACCACTGCAGTTTGGGACAGCTGGTTAAAACCTGGGACTCCTTTCCCTTCAGGAAAGAAGTCCTGACTTTCTTGCACCTGGCCTAACTCCAGGTGGATTCAGGCCACATGGAATCTTACCTTGAGCCCTGCCTGGCATGGGGAACCCTAGTCTGCACCTCTCTTAAACTTAGCTCATTCCCTCAACAGGTGAGGCCACCTAGCTCACCCATTGGCTGTGGGGTGACAGGCTGTCCTCAGGGGAAGGCTGAGAGCCATGGCAAGTGGACCAGAAGTGGTACCCAGGTGATCCACAGGGAAAACCTGCATGGACTGTTCTGGAGAAACTGACCTTGTGGGTCATTAAAGCTATAAGAAGATGATTCCATGGTGATCAGTCAGCCCAACCCTCCATAAGGATGGCTCATGTTTATCAGACAGCAAACATGATGGTCATCCCAGCTATGTGGCATGGGCTTAGGGACCATCAGATAAATTATGCAGCATCCAGGTGAATCTGAAGATTGTGTTCCAAATTCTTGGTCAAACTCAGCTGCTCTGCTGGAGCATCTGCAAAGCACGGCATTTTAACATGACGATCTGAAGAATAAGGAGCAGGGCTATTTATATTTAATGCAGTGTGGGGGTAGGGCACACCCCCAGCACCAGGAGGAGCAGCTGAGTCTCTGGGGGCACTGTTCTCCAGCCCCTTGGGGAGTGCTGGGCTGAGTCCTTCCTAGAACACTGGGCCCTCCAGGCTGGTCGGGCCATGACCTGCAGGAAGACCCTAGCCCAGAGCCCCCACCCTCCCTCCACTGTGGATGGCCATGTTCCACCACTCGCTCACATCCATGCTAGAAACCATGGAAACAACTCTGAGAGCACATCCTCCCTCAGGAGCAATGCTGAAGGAGCCAGGGCAGGGAGCTTCTCTCAGAGGAGAAGGGGTCTCACTGGTGACATGATGAGATCACACAGGCTGTGGAGTTGCTGGAGACCCCAGCCCTTGGGGACAAGCAGCACCCCTGGAGGAGGTCGAGTGCGCATCACCCCAGTCAGGGTGTCTGCTGTGGAACTGACCATGCAGAGTGAGGATTTCAGAGGCTCGGGACATGTGGGCACTCATGGGCAAGGCCAGGGAGCTATAAACGGGCACATTGGCAGGTGGTCAGCACACTCCCCAACCTGGATGCTGTGTGCTCACATATGAAGTGGATGGAAATGGGGCCAGGCTCCAGGGTCCCATGAGCTTGCAGTTCTGCATCTCTGGACAGATCTGCCCCTGTTTTCACCTCTGTGAACCAGGCCAGAACAGGTGGGCCTGCATCAGGCCTGGGCTGCAGCTGCTCCACATGCAGCCCGAGGCTCAAGGCTGAGTCCTGCAAGCTCCACCCATTCTGATTCCCACCTTGATTTTGGCTTTTGTCACGTTTGCCTTCCTTTTCTCAGACAGTGTTTTTGAAATATTTGATGTTTGACTCACCTGGACTAGTTGTATATTTCAGTAAAGATCAGTGTGATGTTCCAACAAGTGTAGAGTACACTGATCGTATCTAGCGTCCTTCTACCCACCTCACTCTCCGGCCTCTAGGAATTGCTGTTCTGAATTCAGGGTAAGACAGAACCAGCCTGTGTCCACCAGCGGATGAGTGGATAAGGAAAGCATATGTGCAAGTGTGTGCGTGTGTGTGTGTGTGTGCAGCTGCACACATGTGCACACTGTGGAGTGTTAGTCATGAGGAAGAATGAGCCCTGTTGCAGCAGAGCATTGGAGAATGTTATGTGGAGTGGAATGACCCAGGACAGACACTAGCACCTCTCAGTGTTCCCTCTCATTGGGGAAAGTGCCTTTTAAAAAGCCCAACTCTTGGGTGAGCTCAGTAGAGGGCACTATCCACAGGGAACTCTCCTTGCAATGCCACCCAACTGCCACCTGGCAGAGGGGAGGGTCTGGCACCTAGAACCATCTTGGAGAAGGCCTTTGTGGTGGGTGGGGCCCCAGGGAGGGTGACGGGGCAGCCCCTCGCACCAGGACACTGGCTGCTGTCGGGGGATGTTCCAAGGCAGTGCAGTGGCCTTGTTCCAGTCAGGACCTCCAGAAACCAAGTGAGGTCCCTCATGTCACTTAATAGAACTGTTATAAAACTGTCATTGTATTATAAGGAATCGGGGGGCATGCCTTCCTAAGAGATTCTGGTGTGTCTTTTGTGAGGGGCTTATTGTTTAGAAGTCCTATTCCAGTATCACTCCTGCTTTCGGAGGGCGAAGCTTCTATCTGTCGGGCTCCATGTGAGGGTGGAAGGGATGGCAACCATCCTGATTTCTAATTGCATGTGAGTCATCAGGGTGCCACACACACGTCCTGCACAGCCAGCACCAGCAGGGAGCCTCCGGAGAGGAGAACATGGAAAACATGCTGTGTTGGGCATAGCCCATGTCTGCACTTGGGAGGCTGAGGCAGGAGGATCACAAGCTCGAGGCCACCTTGGGCAACTCAGTGAGACCCTGTCTCAAAATAATAAAAAGGGCTGGGATGCAGCTCAATGGTAAAGTCTTTACCTAGCATGGAGAAGCCCTGGGTTCGATCGCCATCACCACTACTTAAAAAACAAAGTTCATTTAATACCTTCTCCATTAGACTTACAGAACTGAATTCAGGAAAACGGTGCTGAATACGAACTTTTCAGGAAGATATCTGCCTTGGTGTCGAAGGTGGAACTGCGGCCCGTGGGTGGCCTTTGCCTTCCCTTCACTCCCAGGATGTCATGGTGATGTCACAGAGCAGACACCATCCCAAGAAGCTACGCCACAGGAGCATGGCCAGGCTGTGCACAGATGCCCGCAGGACACAGAGCACGGGTGTAAAACACGGAAGGGAGACATTCCACCATCACAGGAAGTGCCCCAAGGATTCTGTCATCCCAGACAACAGAGGACATTGGTTGACAATCACTGGCACAGGGAGCCCGGTTAACAGTGTGGGGCTCTCAGGGCTCTTAGGTTCACCATGGAGAATCCTACAGCTGGTATGCAGGACACACCATGCATCCACCTGGAGACAAAGTCTGGGACAGCCACATGCCATCCCTGAGAGCCCTTGGCTCTTTGTCCCCTCCCATGCCATGCTGACTGGCTGTGCCTCTGTTTACCCTGAGCAACAGCACAGGCTCATTGTTCACGGGGTGGTATCTGGAAATCCACAGATCCCCTTGGAGAGCAAGAGGAGCCATTGGGT